TGTGCTGAAGACCTGGGGGGCACGGGGGAAGGATTGCATAGAGAGGATTGTAATCATGGCAATGAGATGATATACGATAGAATGAATGTAAAACTAATGTTCTCCCATGTAAACTATCACATAATTCACAATAAAACATTAAAAAACAAACAAAAACACACACAAAAAAACACTATTGTTCCAAGGGTATGTATATATCACTATTTACCTCTATCCCATTTAGCCCTTGCATACCTCCCTGAGTCTTCCTCTCTAACTTCATTATTCATTTGTCACCTTCCTTCTTCTTGTGTATTGCCCTGCCCCATCTTGTATATTGCCCTCCCATCATCCAAGCTAAGCGGTGTCTACCCTCTAGCCAGTGAATTACTCTCTCTTCCCTGGTAATCATCCAAGAATTTATGTATGTATGTATGTATGTATGTATGTATGTATGTATGTATGTATATATGTATGTATGTATGTATGTAAACCTTTTCTTAAGCTTTTACAATAATGGTCTCATACAATATTTGTCATTTTGTGATTAACTAATTTCACTCAGTATAATGTCCTCCAGTTTTATCCATGTTATGAGGTACTTTGCAGATTCACCATTATTTTTCAAGGTTGCATAGCATTCCATTGTGTGTATGTACCAAACTTTGTTATCCATTCTTCCATTGATGGGAACTTAGGCTGTCTCCATATTTTTGCTATTGTGAGTAGTGCAGCGATGAACATCAGTGCACATATATCTACTTGTGTCCTGATTCATATTTCTTGTGTTATATATCAAGTAGAGGAATTGCTGGATCATAAGGTATTTCTATTTCCAAATTTCTGAGGAAGTGCCATCCTGTTTTCCAGAGTGATTGAATCATTTTGCAGTTCCACCAGCAATGTAGGAGGGTCCACACCCTTGCCACCATTTGTTGTTTTCTTTTTTAAACTTTGCTGTTAATGCTGGTCTGAGATGATATCTCATTGTTGTTTTGATTTGCATCTCTAGGAGGTTCCAGTCATCTAGTTTGTCTTCTACTGTTGATGTGTTTTTGTAATGTTGGACAATGTATGTATGCAGGAACTAGAGCCACTAAATTTGTCCCTATTTTTTTCATTGATTATCTTTATAGTTCTAGATTTTACATTTAGGTCTTTAATCTATGTTGAGTTTGTTTTTATATGTGGTCTGAGAAATGGGTCTTGTTTCTTTCTTCTGATAATTGATTTCTAGTTTCAACTGTACCATTTGTTGAATAGACTGGCAATTTTTTTCTTTCAGAGTTTTGTGTATATCTTTCCATTGCCTTCTTACCTGTATAGTTTCTGCTGAGAAATCAGTACTTAGTGTTATTGGTATTCCTTGGTAGAGTTTTTTTTTTCCCCCCTCGCGTTCCTCTCAGAATTCTCTCCTTGTGTTTGGTTTTGGAAAGTTTGATTATGATATGTCTTGATGATTTTCTTTTGGGGTCTTTCCTATTTAAGGCCGTTCAACTTCTTGAATGGTTTTCTTCTTGTCTTTCATGATGTTAGGGAAGTTTTCTTCTAGCAACTCTTCAATAATTTTCTCCATGTTTTTTATTTTTGCTTCCTGTTCTGGAATTCTGACTACTCATAAGTTATTCTCTCTTCATGGGGTTCCACATAAATCTCAAGCTTTGTTAGGATTTTTTCATACATTTTTCTGCTTGTTCTTCTTGCATACTAATATTGAGAGATTTATCATCAAGTTCAGTAATTCGAGCTCCCATTGATTCAAATCGATTCCTTTGCCCTTTCAGTGTAGTGTCCATTTATGAGACCTTAGTATTAATCTACTTGATTTTTATTTGCAGGTTTTATATTTTTTCAAAATTTGCATTTATTTTGGCTGTTTGATCTTGTAGTGTTTTTCTAAATTCTTCTAAAGTTTTTTTCTGTGTTTTCCTTGCTTTCTTTGATCTTTCTGTTAATCCATTGAAGGTATCTCAATATCATTCTTTTGAATTATTTCTCAGATTGTTCCATTACCTTTTCTTCTTCAGAAATGTTTTCTGGCTCTGCATCTTGGTTATTTGTTTGATCTTTTGTTTCTTCATATGAGCTAAAATAATCTGTTGTGTCTGAGACATTGTGGTGGTGGTGCATTTGCATTTAGTTGATGATTGTATGTTGATTTGTTCTTATCTTCTCACTAATTGTCTTCTGGTGAGTGCAATTAGAGAATGAAAGCATGTACAGATTAATACAACAGATTATTTTTACTCATATGAAGATTATTTGTTTTAGCTCATAATATAACAGATTATATTTTATCTCATAATACAACATAATTAGCTCATAATTATGATTATGAATGACACAATTTGCAAATAAATTCCATCATTCATGGTGAGCATATGTTACTAGTGTTGTTGTTCCCCTTATATACCTATCTACTACTTGGCTAAAAGTTGGGCCATAAGGGTGGGTTCCTTTCCAGACCTGAAGGGTGGTCGAGGGTCATTGTTTCAGGTTCCTCCAGTCTCTTTCTGACTAGTAAGTCCAGCCTTTTTTCTTTTTGTAATTATTTTGAGTTTTGTTCTATTCCCATATCATTTTTAAAGGAGCATAATGCCAAGGAATGTTTCACCACTAGTTAAGCTAAACTGTTGTTTGGTTTTAAGACTTCAGTGGATATTTCTGGTTTCAGTTTTAAAGATGATCTCAGTAAAGTGAATAAAGGTAAATACTGTTAACTGTGGGTCCATGGATGGGATTACAGCCACATAATGAAGCAAAGTATATGGTATGGTTAATATAAAAATGATGATCTGTTCTGTAAACCTTCTCAATTCACAATAAAAAGTTGGAAAAAAGCAAAAGATTATTTCAAGGCAACAGTTTCAGGGGTTCACCCATTAATTCTAGAGTCCATGAGAATCAAATAGTACGTTTTTAGTGAGACCACTTGAGTTAAAACTATAGTCTGCTCTCATGATCCTTCTTACTTGCTGTGCTTATCATTTATTATCTCTCCCCCTGCTAGAAAGTGACTATAGGAGTGAGGGCTACTGGACTGTCTTCTTCTTAGTGGTAGTTTCAGTGCCTGAAGCAAAGAAGGACTCAAAACAAGTGTACAATGTTTTTTTAAAAAAATTATTATGGAAATGTGCAAACATACAAAAAAAAAAAAAAATAGAAAGATGAACATAACAAATGGCCACAACTTACCCACCATCCATCTTCAGCAGTATTTTTCATGCACAGCTCTATCCATTCCCCCCCACTGTATTATCTTAAAACAAATAACAGATAATATGTTGTTTCCATAAATATATCAGTATGTTATCTCTATTTAGTTGTTGTTAAGTGTGTTAGTGTCATTGAGTTGGTTCCAACTCTTAATGACCCTGTAAAGGGTTTCCGAAGGAGCTCTGGTATTGTAGTGGTTATGAATCGAGCTGCTAATCTCACAGTCAGCCGTTCAAAATTATTAGCTGTTCCACTGGAGAAAGATGAGACTTTCTGCTCCCTTAAAGATATACAGCCTTGGAAACCCTGTACAGGATCACTATCAGTTGGAACTGACTCCACGGCACATAGCAACAACAACAACAATAGGGATTCCCAGGAGTGGCTGGTGGTTTTCAACCATCAACCTTTAGGCTATCAGTCTAATGTTTATCTTATAACATCATACCAGGACTCCTGTTATTTCTATAGAGATAGGGTTTTTTTTTTTTTTTTTTAAATCATAACCACAAAACCATACTCATACCCATAAAATGAATGGCTCTTTCCTATATCTATGCTCAAATTTCCCCAGTTGCCTTTTAAATTTGATTTATTGGTCTGCTTGAATTGGGATCTAAATCAAGTCTATTTGTTTATTTAAATAAGTATTTGTTAAGCAAAACAAACAAATAAATAAAACTGTACCTAGGCAGTAAAGGGTAGACAATTGTCTGGGCATTAGCCCTAGATGCCAGAAAGACTCCTAGAGGAAGGGGAGTTGGGTTTGCAAAGAAGGGAGGTGACCATGGCCCTGAGGGGAGTGGGATATGTAGAATCTGCATGTTGACTCAATCTTTCACTTTGTCTCTGCTCTGCAGTGGAGCTGACGTTGGACCCTGACACTGCCAACCCTCGCCTCATCCTCTCTCTGGATCTTAAGAGTGTGCGCCTCGGACAGCGGGCCCAGGACCTGCCGGATCACCCACATCGCTTTGATATCAACACTAGGGTGCTGGCGTCCTGTGGCTTCTCCTCTGGTCGCCACCACTGGGAGGTGGAAGTGGGCTCCAAGGAGGGTTGGGCCTTCGGTGTGGCCAGGGAAAGTGTCCGCAGAAAGGGCCTCACACCCTTCACGCCTGAGGAGGGTATCTGGGCACTGCAGCTCAACAGTGGGCAGTACTGGGCCGTGACCAGCCCTGAACGGACATCTCTTAGCTGTGGGCACCTGTCCCGCGTGCGGGTGGCTCTGGATCTGGAGGTGGGGTCTGTGTCCTTCTATGCTGCAGAGGACATGCGCCACCTCTACACTTTCCGTGTCAACTTTCATGAGCGTGTGTTTCCTCTTTTCTCTGTCTGTTCCACTGGCACTTACTTGCGAATCTGGCCTTGATCTGCATCACCCAGCCCCCCGCCCTTCCCCAGTCATGGGTGAACTCTTGGGTCTATCCTCCACACCCTGTCACACACCCTGACCCAGAGGGGCTTTTGCAGAGCACAACTGTGGATACGTAAGAGTAAGTGATTAAGTACAAGGACTCTGGTCAGTTGAGCAGAGCAAGAGATGCATGCCTGGGGTCTTTAGGGCCTGTCCCCTCCCTGATGTCATCATGTGGATTTTGCCAGAGCCAAGAAAGTGGAGGCAGATTAAGATAGGAGCTCAGCTCATGTACATCCCCAGGGGTGTTGAGACTGATAGGGGTACTTCCTATCATGTGATGGGTTACTGGGTCATCTGGTTCATGGTATATCAAGTTCAAGACCTATGTTGTCCTCTGTTGCAGTGGGGCAGGTTGGGCCTGGACCAGTCAAGTTAATTATTATTTCTGCTTTGCTTTCTGTAAGCTGCCAGCTCTACCTTCAGAGGTCATGAGATGAATAGCTCTAGCTGGCCTGAAGAGGTTTTAGTTCAGAGAGGAACACTACTCCCAGCTCAGAGGACAGTCTGGGCCAGTACTGGAAAAAGACTTATGACCTTTGGGTGAGGAGAAGGCCACACAAAATATCTCAGGACAGCAACATATAGGCATTTCTACTCCCCAATGCTCCTTAGTCAGATAATACAGAACTACATATACATTCTTGACCACAATGACAGCTAACATGTTCTTACAGATAACCTAAATCTCCATATTCAAGTGCCACACAACACAGTGTTTCTTGAGTAAGGAGATCAAAGTTTCTGAAAGTTTTAAAGGCAAGTTGGCATTGATATTACAGCAGCAACTAGCACTAGCAAGGAAATGTACTGATTATAAACCTGCCCCTGACACACCCTTTCCGGAACTTGCCAAATGAATGTTAACAGTGGAGGGCCCTGGTGCCAATGCAGCTGGCCACACCATCCTGGTCAGCCTGTACTCTGGTGGGCCTTCAGCTGATCAGTCTCATTTTCCCCTTGGCTAACTGTTTCGCAGCTTCTAATGGCTCGGCTTCTGGGACGGTGATGGTAGTTTCCTGCTTTGTGTTTCCCAGGGATGAGGGATGGGGAGATGGAAATACAGACTGTGAGCTAATCTCTAGAGTGGCTTGACTTCATTCTCCTTTTTTTTCTGATCTGAATGCAGAGACACATGTATGAGCTGGGGTTTCTGCCACACTGAACATGTGTGTTTATATGTGTGAATGTGTGCATTTATGTTTATACTGTACCAGGTGATATGACCTTGTGTCTCAAGGTCTGGGACAGGATCATTTATGGGTCTATCCTACAACAGCATTCCAAAAAGTGAACAGTGCTCTTAAAGCTTGTGCCCTTTTCATCCAGGGAGAGTAGTTATTTGTAGTCTATTGAATACCACTAATTTCCTGGTGTGGTGATGTGGGTTAATGTGCCAGACTGCAAAGCCGTTTGAACTGCAAGGTTGATAGTTCAAGCTTACCAGCCGCTCCTTGGAAATCCTATCCAGGGTTGCTATGGGTCGGAACTGATTAGATGGCACTTAACAACAACAATTTCCACAAGGAACCTCCATTTCCAACTTTCATTTTTTAATTAAACCACCTGATGTTCTCAGAGATAAAAGACAGCAGTTTGGACCTCTAATATGGTTTTTTGAGTAGCCCAATAGCCCTTCGTATCATTGAATAATTGTGCCAGTGTCACATATTGATAACAGTATTAATAGTGCAGCACATATGATAGATCACAGAAGATCTGGGTGTTTGGTGAAGGTCAAGAATATGTGGAGGGCCAGGTCTAGGGACTGTCTCAATGTATGCCAGGGGGCTTCAAAAACTTTCTGGAAAAATGGAATTAAAAGATAATGGAAATTTTCCATTATTTTTTTGAAGGCCTTATATATTTTCAGCTTTTGTGTCTGTCAGTATAAAGGTGGATCTTTAAAAGTATGTGTGTTTGCAAAGTAACTACAGAGATACCTATATATCTGAAGAAATTTAACAACAGCCTTGCTGTGGTGCTGTAGAATAAACACAACCTTGAGGCTGGTAGCTCAAATTCATCGGCCCCTCTTTGGAAACCCTATACAAGGTCACTATGAGTTGCACCTGACTTGGTGGTACTTAACAAGAAGAATAGTAAGAGTGCACCTTGAAGGAAAGAGATTTATTCTCTTGGTCACCTGTGCAACATGGTGACTTTTTTGATGTGTGACTAAGGGCATGCATTTTCCTTTCCCATCGTTTGGGCCCTGGTCAGATCAAAATCTCCGAAAACAATGCCTGGCGCAATTTGGGTCCTTCTGACCTTACTCACCTCTTAGTCCATGATACCTGTGAACAGGAAGAGCCACAGGCCCCTGCAACCCTATACTCACAGGTCTCCTCAGCATCCAGACTGGTGGATACCTAGTGGTGGACACCCATTGACCTCAGTCTCCTGACTTTGCAAGGATTATAGGGCAGGCTGACCACGTGCTGCCAGGTCAAGGCCCACCACCTATAGCTATCACTTCCATCTTTTGCAGGGCTGGGACACCTGCCCCTCACCTCGACCCTCGCTGGGTCTCTCCCCTGTGGGCCCTTGAGAAGTCTGGAGGGTACAAGATCCCCATGATTCAAGGCGAGTTGTAAGGATTGCTTTTTTCTAATTCCCCCCAAAGAGCAGAAGGTCCTGGCCCCGTTTTCTGTTCAGAATCCCCTTACAATCCAACCTTTGGATATTCCCAACCACTGTCAATTTCTATCCTTGATCCTCTATACTACTCCGACGTCTCACTCGCTCCAGACTCCACCTTCATTCTTGATCAGTATTCTTCTCAGGACCAGATTATTGATATCCTCCCCCTAATCCTTCTATAATAGCCCTGAACTCTGGACTCACATGGTCACACACAACAATCCAACGATTCCGCTTCCCAATTCTACTCTCCCCACGATCAACTCCCATCCCACGGAAAGCCCTGGACTCTTGTGCCAGCTAGAGGCATAGTTACCATCGATCCACTCTTCTGTATGCCTGACTCTTCACCCCTGCCATCGCAGTCCCAAATGGACACAATGAGGGTCCTCTTTGTGTCGGCTCTCTTCCAGGCGTTGCTGCTTGACAGTGGCGGATGGACCCTGTCTGCTCTTGTATGATGATTTAGCCTCGAAGTGATCTGCGACTGCGCAGTCTGCGGTAGCACGGCGACGGCGACAGCGTCAACAGTTCGTGCGCGGAGCCCAGGCTCAAGGTTGGCTCCATAGCTCAGGGGTTAGAGCACTGGTCTTGTAAACCAGGGGTCGCGAGTTCAAATCTCGCTGGGGCCTGACTTGGGGTTTCTTTTCCTCCCCGCTCCCCCAACACAATTTTTTTCTCCTTAAAGGAAACGCAGGAATAAAAATTAATTTCTGCCATAGTGGGCCACCATCCCAGGCAGAACTAACGCCTTTTGGGATCCCAGGTTCCGCTGGTCATATCCGACTTTACTAAGGCCTTTTGCTGTCTTCGTTCCGCGCCAACTCTTGAAAAAGTTTACCGAGAGTCATTTATCTTTGGGTTTTTCCTCTTCTCTCCTCTTGGGCTGGCGCTCGTCTTAGATCTGATTCCCTTTCCGATCTGATAGAAGTGACTTATATGGGTCTCCGGATGGAGATGATGGTGTTACCGTGCCTCTTTGGCCCAGTCTCCTACCCAGGTTTGTCTTCTCCTGCTAGTCCTCAGCTTTAGTTCCGTCTTGCCTCTGATTGCTGTGGTGGTGTTTTGCCTCCGTTCCTTTTGCAAGCACCTGCTGCTCTTCTCTGTGGAACTATATAAACAAAAGTGTAAACCAATGTCCATTTTCATGACACCTTAGCCTTAAGGCTCCACCATTGTTTCATCCACTTCCCGTCATATATATATATA